GGACCCCGGGCAGCTCTGCCCCCCCCAGAGGGGTCCCCGGCAGCTCTGCCCCCCCCAGGGGTCCCCGGGCAGCTCTGCCCCCCCCGAGGGGTCCCCGGCAGCTCTGCCCCCCCCAGAGGGGTCCCCGGGCAGCTCTGCCCCCCCCGAGGGGGGTCCCCGGCAGCTCTGCCCCCCCCAGGGGTCCCCGGGCAGCTCTGCCCCCCCCGAGGGGTCCCCGGCAGCTCTGCCCCCCCCAGAGGGGTCCCCGGGCAGCTCTGCCCCCCCCGAGGGGTCCCCGGGCAGCTCTGCCCCCCCCAGAGGGGTCCCCGGGCAGCTCTGCCCCCCCGAGGGGTCCCGGGGCAGCTCTGCCCCCCCCAGAGGGGGGTCCCCGGGCAGCTCTGCCCCCCCCAGGGGGATCCCCGGGCAGCTCTGCCCCCCCACACAGAGGGGGTTCCCGGGCAGCTCTGCCCCCCCCCAGAGGGGGTCCCCGGGCAGCTCTGCCCCCCCCAGAGGGGGTCCCCGGGCAGCTCTGCCCCCCCTCCGAGGGGGTCCCCGGGCAGCTCTGCCCCCCCCAGAGGGGGTCCCCGGGCAGCTCTGCCCCCCCCAGAGGGGTCCCCGGGCAGCTCTGCCCCCCCAGAGGGGGTCCCCGGGCAGCTCTGCCCCCCCACACAGAGGGGGATCCCCTGGCAGCTCTGCCCCCCACACAGAGGGGGATCCCCTGGCAGCTCTGCCCCCCACACAGAGGGGGATCCCCTGGCAGCTCTGCCCCCCCCAGAGGGGGGTCCCCGGGCAGCTCTGCCCCCCACACAGAGGGGGGTCCCCGGGCAGCTCTGCCCCCCACACAGAGGGGGATCCCCTGGCAGCTCTGCCCCCCACACAGAGGGGGGTCCCCGGGCAGCTCTGCCCCCCCCACACAAAGGGGGGTCCCCGGGCAGCTCTGCCCCCACACACAGGGGGGTCCCCGGGCAGCTCTGCCCCCCCCCACAGAGGGGGATCCCCGGGCAGCTCTGCCCCCCCCCCCACAGAGGGGGGTCCCCGGGCAGCTCTGCCCCCACACACAGAGGGGGATCCCCGGGCAGCTCTGCCCCCCCACACAGAGGGGGATCCCCGGGCAGCTCTGCCCCCACACACAGAGGGGGGTCCCCGGGCAGCTCTGCCCCCCCCACAGAGGGGGATCCCCTGGCAGCTCTGCCCCCCCACACACAGGGGGGTCCCCGGGCAGCTCTGCCCCCACACAGAGGGGGGTCCCCGGGCAGCTCTGCCCCCACACAGAGGGGGGTCCCCGGGCAGCTCTGCCCCCCCACACAGAGGGGGTCCCCGGGCAGCTCTGCCCCCCCACACAGAGGGGGATCCCCGGGCAGCTCTGCCCCCACACACACAGGGGGGTCCCCGGGCAGCTCTGCCCCCACACAGAGGGGGGTCCCCGGGCAGCTCTGCCCCCCCTCCTCCTGCAGCAGGAGCTTCTCTC